AAACATACATGCGACGCGGGGGCTGCTTGGGCTGCACCACGATTTTTTGTCCATCCAACTGTGCGCCGTTCAAAAAGTCCATCGCCCGCTCGGCCTCCTCCACCGTATCAAAGGACACATACGCAAACTTGCGGCGCTGGCCCGCGCGGCCCCCCTAAGGAACCAGAAAGATCCAGCCCAAGGCAAAGCACAATGCAGAGAAGGGTCACGATGCAGGCAAAGCACAATGCAGAGAAGGGTCACAATGCTGCCTCGTGTGCCACTTGACCTGTTGACCGGCCCAATGCACACGCACGCACGGCTGTCAAAGGCTTACCCGGGGCATTTCCACTTGCTTGACCGACCCATAGCAGTTGAAGACCTCCTCCAGGTGAGCCTCTGTCACGTTGCCGGAGAGCTGGCCCACAAAGAGATCGGTCACCTGTTGTTGACCAGAAGCGGCATCCAGGCCATGAGGAAGAAAAGGCCTGAGGCCGGCCACAAAACACCCTTCCGAGCCGGAGACGTGAACCTACTCGATCCTCACTGGGACCGCGACGAGGCGATGGAGAACGCGAACGCGAAGGGGAACGCGACATTGACCTCCTACGACGAGGGCTGCGGATCAAGACACCGAATGTCAATCGTGAGGCTTTCCCACCAGTGAACACGAGGAAATCATGAAGATGTCAATCTGAAAATAAATCTTCAAAGAGCAAGTTGAACAGCCGCAGCCAGACTCGAGACAGGCACGCTCAGTCGCGCAGTCCTGGCATTCGTGACATGCCCACAGGCGGGGATCAGACATGACAGACCTGATGCTGCAACATTTCACACGCAAACGGCCATGTCCATGAGCGAACCAGCAAAAGTTGTGAGCAAAAAGTCATAGCAGCAGGCGCAGTGGCTCGGCCACGACAGACAACCAAGCAATGACGCAAATCAGATACGACTCTTGAACCGTCAATCAGCGGCAAACACCAGGAACAGACCTGCGGGAACGTGAGCGCGAGCGGGAGCTGGCGGGACTGGGCGAACGACTGCGACGTCTGCGGGTTGTTGTATAAAAACGAAGACCAAAGGCCACCCGTAAGATGGGGGAGCAGACACCAAAGATCGAGATGGAAAGAGCGAGCGCGTTGGGAAAACAAAGTCAAGCAGAACCTACGGAGAACGAGACGACCTGCAGGTGGCACGCATGCGGCATGAGCGTTCAACAGGAGGAGGCCGGGGCAGGGGGGGTGAACCGAGAAACAGACAGCAAGTGCCACTGTCAAACGTACATGGTGGAGGTCGAAGAAGACGGCCAAGAACCTCGGCGTGGCAACTTTGCCAGAGTTCTCCTATAGTAACCTTGAGGCCAGACAAATCACTCGCACGGACAGTATCACGCCCCTGCGCTGCCGTTTCAACGCGCGCGCTCGGACAATCAGACGAGAAAAACTGAGAGAGAGAGAGAGAGAGAGAGAGAGAGAGAGAGAGAGAGAGAGAGAGAGAGAGAGAGAGAGAGAGAGAGAGAGCTTGAGAGAGAGAGAGAGAGAGAGAGCTTGAGAGAGAGCTTGAGAGAGAGAGCTTGAGAGAGAGAGAGAGAGAGAGAGCTTGAGAGAGAGCTTGAGAGAGAGAGCTTGAGAGAGAGCTTGAGAGAGAGCTTGAGAGAGCTTGAGAGAGCTTGAGAGAGAGAGAGAGAGAGAGACAGAGACAGAGACAGAGACAGAGATAGAGAGAGAGAGAGACAGAGAGAGAAAGCGAGAGACAGAGACAGAGAGAGAGAGAAGATTCGAGCGGAGCAGTCAGAGAGTGTGTATTTGTCAGCGCAAAAGAGCTTTCCACACAAGCACCAACACACCCAAAATCAGAGAGAGAGAGTCAAGCGAGAATATCTCCACACACGCACGACGAGATTCAGACGACGAATACAGTGAAGAACATCTTTCAACGTCGCAAAGATAATATGCTCACTTACTTCGCCTTTTTCAACCTTTCGGGATGAACCGATGGCAGTGGATCGACGGGCGCCGGGCGGCTGGCAGTGGCAGTGGCAGTGGCAGTGGCAGTGGAAGCGGTGGTGTGCATGAGATTCTGGTGGGAGGAGAGGCCATCAACGCTTCTGGAAGCAACATTCGATTGTATGATGGTGGACAGCAGACGAGCTTTGAGGATGGACAGGTGGCCTTGACCCCCTATCGCATCATCTGGTGGCGCGGCGCCGAGCAGTGGATGCACCTGGAGCTGCGACACGTTTCGCACGTCAGTCACACGGCCGCCACCTTCTTTGGTAGTCCAAAGTTGATCCTCCACTTTACACAGTTGGAGCATCCGCTCCCTCGAGCCGTTGCTGCGACTAGCAGCGAAGCCATGACCAAGATTTCCTTTCGCAATCGCGATGAGAACACCGTCACGGCCTTTCACCATGGCCTGCTGGCCGTCCTGGCTGCCCAAATGTGGCTGACCCAGCCCATCGACCTAAACCCCAGCTGCCCGACACCAGCTGGTGGTGCCATTCACGCTGCTGGCAATGAGTCCAACAGCGCCTCGACGGGCGCCGTTTCGCAGGCAGCACCGGTCACCCTGACAGGGTCCGGCACGGGCGGCATTCGGCGTGTGGTCAAGCAAACCGAAACTTCACTTGCTGCTGCCGACAGCTCTCTTCAGGAAGCTTTCTCGGGTGACCTCCAAGGTGAGGGTTTGCCCAACGCGGTCTGGCTCCCAAATGTCATGATCCAGCTCACTCGGACCTTCTCGCTCGCCCCATCCCTCAGGCCTTCAGTCCAAGGCCTCCGAATTGCTCGCCTTGGCCGCAAAACTCAGCGCGCGCGTACAGGACGAGGACAATGCTGCCATATCTCAGCAACTCGAGGACTATCTGCTGTCCATTGGCATTGATAACCCCGTTGTTCGCGACAAGCAGCGACCCGCGGTCTGTCCCCGCCGTTTTCCTGACTCGCTTGCAAACCGTTTCATCCCGGACGATCTGACCTGGAAATGTGGCTATAGGAGTTTCATCGACAACTGGCTCAAGAACTGTCAAAGATCCTGCCCACCCTCCTGGCCAAGGTTTGCTGCCTTTTTTTTTTATACTCCTGTCGTTACGCTCATTTTCGTGTTGTGGCGGGCGGTCGCTGCCTGGCCTGCCCGAGTGGATAGTCGCAGCCTCTTCTCACCCGACCATATCCTTGCCCGCCTGACGCGGTACATGCAGCACAACGGTGTTTTGGCTGTCACCGATTTGTATTGTCTGTACAACCGGGCCCGCGGCACTGAACTCCTGTCCCCCAATGACGTGTTGCACGCCTGCGAACAATTTGAGCCCATGAATCTACCCTATCAACTCCGCGTCTTCTCCAGTGGCGTCAAAGCCGTCGAGGCACGCGCGGCCAACGGAGCAGGTCAATTCGACCACACGGCCATGATGGACATGGTGCAGGCCCAAGGCTATCTCACAGCCGGACGCCTTGCTCGTCTCAAGAGCATCTCGGCTGTCGTGGCCACTGAACTCCTCCTCGTCGCAGAAACGGCTGGCTGGCTGGCCCGCGACGAAAGCACCGAGGGCCTGCGTTTCTACCCCAACTACTTTCTGCATCCCCGCACAGTAGCGGCCTCTGCTTGAGTGAGCCAGGCCTTTTAGTGGGTTAACCCCGCTTCATTAGACAAATCCCGTTTTAATCGACCCATGTAACCGAGCTCGATCAAGACCAAAGTCCGTTCATTCTTGAATTGATGTCATTGCTTCATGTCAACGGGACACTCCGCAGTGTTGTTGCTTTACATACATTGCCCTCCCCCCTACATGACGGGCTGGGCTGGAAATGAACAGCACTTCAAGAACAGCACGGCAAAGACGGAGAAAAACCAAAAAGATCGAAACACACCCACACAAACGAAAACACACACACACACACTGCAGTATATGCCCAGGCACAGGCCCGACACCACAGCAACTCAATCGACAGGTAGCGAAAAGTCACAAGCCCCAACGCATTGATGCCTCGCCCAAGCCGCTTCACGCAAGGTAGTTGACTGCGAGTATCGTGAATGCCGACGTGGCCGTGGCGCCCACAGCCATGCTTGGCACAGGCGCACACTAAAAATCAAGAATATCCTACAAAGATACAGCGCTGCACGCCGCGCACCAGACACATGGCAAGGAACACACACGGGCAATGGGGCGAGCACGTGCATGCTCAACAGGCCGAGTCGTCGGCGAGCGTGATCTCACGGTCCAGCACGAGACCATCTGCTTGACGATCAAAGGCGCTCCCATCTAGGATGTCCTTCATGAGGGCATCATGAAAGACGGGCGACTTGGCCCCTGACAGAGCCTCGAGACAAAAGTTGGCAGCCTTTTTCACGCTTGATGGATACTGCAATGCAATGGTTGAAAAGCAGAAAGCAGGCATGCCATGAGAATAAGGATGGTGTGATCGCTGCACCTGCACGTTTGACACAAGGTCATTCCTACCTCAGAATGCGCGGCCGTCATGCGCAGCATGGAACGCAAGAACTTGTCTTGCGCGCCCGAAGGCACGTGGTGTGAGCAGAGAGCAGCCAATAGAAACCAGTACACCATGTGCTCTGGCGACCCCGGGCGCGGATGCTACACACCATCAAGCGCGCGCAATGATCAAAAAAAAATTAGAAAAACACCGCCTCATCGGACTGCTTTGTCACAAACCAGACACAAGAGACCCAGAATAGAAACATGCCAAACACATGAAACCAAAAAGAGGCACAAGGGGTGCAAGACAAACCCGTGTGGTTTGCTTGAGAATTTGCATGAAAATCTCATTGCGCAGCATTGGCACGTCTTGACAGACAAGGAAGAGATTGCGAGCCAGCTTGTGCACGTCACTCAAATCACCAAATCTGGATGATTGGCCTGGCAACAGACTGTTGTAGATGTGCATGGCCTCTACAGGAGGTCACGTGATGCGTACAGACATGCATGAGCACGATGGCAACCCTCAAAACCAACGAGATTGGTTACGCGAGCTGGTCAGGCACAAGGTGACGCTGTACATACCAATGTGATGAAAGCCGTATTCATTGCCCGAGGGCCGCTTGCCGATAGAGCCGTAAGGCAGAGGTGTCAAGGGCATATCCAAGCCCTCATCCGAGAAACAAAGCAGCTGCATACACGCAGGAGCAGGAGATGAGCGGGGAGCTGTTCAACAGCCTGGCAAAAGTTTAATGCACAGTCACCTACCACTCGATCAGCAATAACCTCTTCAAGCTCAAAGGCATCTGCACCAGCATGACGATTGGCTAGCTTGGAAAATGGCGTTGTCAAGCTGGGACAAGCTTCAATGGCATCCTGCAGCGCTGTCACCCATCGATTGGCATCGTTCATGGTCTTAGCCTTGAGCGCCCAATCCCGAGAGGCTGTGTAAATATTGAAGGTATAGCCCTGATGTCAATCAGAAGAACGGCATATAGTTGAGGGGACATGCCATTGGTGAGGCGTCAGAGTGTGCCGATCAAAAACCAGCGGGCGTCGGGTGAGTGTTGAGTGCCTGCGGGCAGGATACAGACCGAGACGGTAGCCCGACGCGCCGACAGCTTCTCGCTCGTTTCCGGCGGCTTGACAGTGCAAAGACTATCAAGCACGATGGCACCCACGGGATCCTTGTCACCCTGTATTTCCCACACGAGTCGCAGGTGATATGAGAGCAGCTTGCGAGGAGACCCTCACGCATCTTCGTGCCTTTGTCCGCCAAGGGGGCGCGACAAGGCGAGGGAAGTTGATGTGCATGACCATGGTACCTTGGCCTTGAACATGACGATGGAAGCTTTTCGGAGGACACACCACCGGTCCTTTTTCTTGTCCACGCTCAAGAGTCCACAGACGCGGTCATCATCACTTGTGGATGACTGCCGGGACAGGGCTTGCGGGGAGAGAAGCTTGACCCACGTTTGCAGGTCATCAATGGTGGGCGCTATGAAGGTGAAGTTACCGCTGTCAGAGCTGACGACAAAGTATGTGTTGTTGTCGCTCTCCACCAATCGACCCACGGCAACGATGCTTTTGAGTGGCACGTCCATCTAAGAGCCAGCTCCGGCTGTGAGCAAGAATCTAGCACGTTGGGGCAGGGGGAGGCCAGGACAGGAGTACGAGGTCAAACCTCGATGGGACTGTCCGGAGAGGCAGTCTTGTGCCAGCGCAAGAGGCGACCTCCTGGCTCCTCAACAAGCGCCACCAGGTGCGGCTTGCGCTTCTATTGATCCGCAACACCAACGAGCAGGAGCCAAGACGAGGCGCGATAAGATCCAAAGATTCCATCCGATCGACATCAAGTCATGTGGAACACGGATCAAAGAGCCGTCACCATCAGCGCCAGTTGCCGTTCAGGCTCGACCCCCCGTACTCCTTGATCAAATGACACACCTTTAAAAGACCATGCTCCCGGTCTAGGATGCCCACTTTAATGGCACTAGACGACATGGCGATAATCAAAGCGGAGACCCGGAAGACTCAAGCCACTCCAGGCACTCAAGACTCGAAAAGTTGACGATGCTCTTGGAGCGACTTGCTGAGATCAGACCACCACAATGACTCATGAGCTACAACCGCACGACACTACCAACAAAGCCGGACCGCCCGTCTCCACTACGCCCCTTGAGGGGGGCGGCACCTGCTCACGCGATTTTCTCTCTCTCTCCTCTCTCTCTCTCTCTCTCTCTCTCTCTCTCTCTCTCTCACCAGCCCGTTCCAGCCAAGTTCAGATCGTTGACCCTTTCTCCACTCATACACCCGGCCCCCACCAAGCCCGCCACCTCGCACATCCTGCCCTCACACGCCACCACATTGCGATCGCTCCAGCGTCCCCGCCGCTGCCATTTCCACACACACACACACACACACACACACACACACACACACACACACACACACACACACACACTTACTGAACTGTTTTTCTTCTTCTTCTGTTGTTGTTGTTGTTGTTACTGGGCGGGAAGTAAAAGACGAAAACAGTGAACATTCTGAGACGAAAAGGGGCGAAAACAGTGACCTTTTTAAAAAGATAAAAGAGCGAAAACAGTGAACTGGCTAAATCACGGGGTGTCTTGATGTGAGCTATGGGAAATGGCGGTCAGGCCGTCTACTCGTTGCGCTCTTTCTTGTTCTTGCTTGTTCCTAGGGGGCAGGGAGAAGCTCGGCGCGTTGGCGCTCCGTATCATGACTGATTCTTCATCATCGAATGATGACCTGGAGCTCTTGGCAGCCCAAACCTCTGCTTGTGTCGACGTGCTAATATTATTTCGAGATTTATTATCAAAAAATTAGCAGTGCCGATATATGAAAACGTGAGTGGCCCCACCCAGCGAGCAAATTCCGAATTGAACACACATTCCAGAATACATGACGGAGCTGATAACGAGTCGCATGCCTCACTCATTCGACGCTTGGTATTATTTTGCAATTTCGTCGGCATGGTTTTTGCTTTGCGAATCTCTGAATCTCTTCTGTCTTTACTTTGAACGAAATTCCCCACTCCTTCGGCTGGTGAAAACGCCGTGAATGAGTAGCGTGTACGGCGGCACGCCTGGACTTGGCATGATCGCCAAACGGAATCGATCGACCAAAGTTCTTTTTTTATTTTTCTGATTTGTTCTTTCACGACTTGTTGTCGCTTGACATCTCCTGCATGTTTTGCGTGGCAAAGTGGCATTATGTTTTGACCTTTTTGGCGTCGGGCTCACCGCCTGTGCGTGCAAGCAAGATGATTGTGATGAAGAGATGTGAGCTACTCAGTTTTTTGCAGACGCACAAAGCATTGTCATGGGTTTGGCAAACGCACCTTCAGATGACCGCCAAGGATCGCTGGCCAAGAAGGCCCGAAAGACCTTGAGCAGAGTCTCAGGATCCTTCTCATAGGCCTGAACCGAGGGTTCATCCTTGAACATGAACTCCACATCCTTCCATTCTGTATCTGCTTTTAGTCTACCGAGATGCAAAGCAAGACCGGAGCAGATGGTATCAGAAAACGGCAAAGTCACAATGTCTGGCCACTCTGATTTGTTTTGAAACCACACATGCCATCGCCCAGCGCACTGTCCCCGCCCTCTTGCGCCGATTGCCTGCTGCACCCGTCTTCCTCCAAAACTCTTGTCCAAGAAGCAATGCAACACGTGCCGGCTCACGTACGCAATGAGGTTGCGCGACAAAAGGTCGCGGAAGGCATCTTCGCGCGTGTCACGGTTAGCTTCTGCTTCACGCTTCTGATTGCGCAGCGCTCGCTCCAGCATTGACTCGAAGATCATTTTGAGATGGAGTGCCGATACGGAGGCCACCCGGTCATCGTTCTAGAAGAGGCGGATGCAGCCGGGCATGGTCCAAACACCCACATGAGCATTGAGGATTATCCGCCACCGCTCCCGCAATGCTCAGCTCAGCCAGCTGGAGTTGAACGCCGGTACATTGTCGTGCGCTAGCAAGAGAGTCGCTGCCTGACCTGCAACAACTCCATAAACTCTTCGCCCGTCGTGGTGACCGTTACCACAAAGTCCTTCTCCTGCAGACAATAACACACGAGGCATTTGAAGAAAGGCAAGCAATCACGATACCACATGGCCGAGTGGAATGCCAGAACCGTGAAGCACCAACCTTGAAAATGTCCTTGATCAAGGCCTTATCGCGGCGATACGTCTGTTGCAATTCGTTGGTGCGAATCTTGAAAAAGTCCAGCGGCGTCGTGCCCGGCACACCCATCATGTCCGTGTAAGCAGTATGCTTGAGCATCTCTGGATACGTGATGCGCCACACGCTATTGGCGGTCACGATCTCGTCTTTGATCATTTGGTCAAGCAGCTCCACAAAAGCTTCGCGCTTCTTGCGGTCCTCTCGTCGATCCGCATCAATGGCTGCTTTGTACTCCTCGTCCTTCTTGCGCGAGTAGGCATCGAGCCGCCGTTCATATGCGACCAGGCAATCCAGGATGCCATCCTCCTGTGAGCCGCCAGTCAAACCCGACAATAGTTGTGAGGAAGGAACATGGGAATGTTGCCAGCAAAACTAATCGGGGTCGTTGCAACGCAGAGCATGACGCACGGCAAAATCGGGTTCGTCCTTGAAGCGAGGATCAGCGCTCAAAGCATCCATAATTTCGTCCCAGGTTGAGGCCTCGGTGATGGCTATTCATCGAGTGCCCCAGAAATAGGCAGGCAGCATTCCTGATAAGGGTTTACAGAGTGCAAAACGCCCTTTTGCTCCCATCCGAGGAAGTCGCAAATGGCCCTTGCCCGACTCCCCTGCCGCGTGTACAAGCAAGCCAGCAGCCAGCAATCTTCACGAGTGCGCTCAAGTACACACCTGGGGTATCGGCCAAAAGCTCCTCAAACTTTTTCTCAGTGCGCTCGGCGCGCTGTCGAAAGCTTTCCTTCTCCTCATCCATTTTGACGCGGAGGGCTTCGTCGTAGATGCTCTCCATTTCGCGATCGGAGAGGACCTTTGAGTTGAGTTCGGGGAAGGAGCGGAACAGATCCACGGCTTCGTTGGGGCGCAGTTCGGGGCCCGTGGCTTCTTGCTGAGCAAAAAAGACCTTGAGCTTCTCTCGTGCTTCCCGAGCCTGTGCACGCAGTTCTTCTTTCTCTTCCTTGGCGCGCTTGCCGCGCCAAGCGTTCCAAACTTGCTTTTTTTCCCCCTTCTTCAAGACATGGAATCGGCCGTCGCTGGTACAAGCGCGAACAATCTAGGGGTTGGGTCCCGGCCCGTGACAACGAGTCATGAGCCAAATGTGCTCGAGAATGCATGCCCTCCTTCAAAAAGTCCTTCTTGAACCGACGGCACACCTTGTCCCATGGCCAGTTTGAGCGGCATTCAAGGTCATACAACATTTTGGTGAAGGCCTCTTTGGCTTCCTCTTTTGTGGCAAATTCTGGAATCTCCGGCTTTTCGCTAAGAACAGGCAAATCCACGTGAGCGAGGGGCAGCCAAACAAACAAACGAACGAATAAACCAGAGTAGCATCGACGATTCGTGTGTGAGTGGGGCTGGGGCAAGCTGTCATAGTGTCGTAACATACTCAGCAGACTTGTTGCTAGTCGCAGCGGCGGCGCCTGTGCTGGTCGTTGTAGCGGGCGTTGAGGTGGCTGCGGCAGGGTCAGTTGCATAACCCTACCAAGACACACACGGCCGAGGTGGGCCTGTCAGCAATCTGGCAAGCGGGAGCAAGAATGATCGAGTCCTGGACGATCCACATACGGCTGGCTTCTCCCAGGAGGTGGCCTGAGTGACAGTGTTGTAGTAGTACACACGCCCATCGGGGGCGCGAGCTTCCTGCCAAGTCCCGGGTGTCTCTGCGGAACCAGATAGAAGTTTGGGAGCGTGAGGTGAAAAGCGACAATCAAGGATATGAATGTGTCAAAAAAAAAAAAAAAAAGCTTTCGCTGACAAAAGAGGCAGAGGCCTGCGCGTGTTCAGACGGCAACGCACGTTGTTGTGGGGCTGGTGCCGGGGCTGGGGCTGGGGCTGGGGGCGGGTTCCAGCTCGTTTCATTGGTTGCAGTGTTGTGGTAGTAGGTGCGACCATCCTGCGCCAAGTGGGGTCGTGAGTGAGTCATCACCTGTCACGGCGGCGGCCCTGCGATATCACGGTGCAAAGCCATCATGTCAAGGGGGCTGACCGGTGTATACACTTGTCGCCACGGTGGAGGAATGGCGGGAGCCATTGGTGGTGCCATGGGAGGCATCATAGGCGGGCCACCCATATGCATTGGCGCACCATACTAACAACAACGCATAGCGCGAGGTGAGACATGTGGGAAGCGCCAGACGTGGGTCATGTCGAATCGACAGCGATCTTACCCCGGGCGCTCCAAATCCACCGGGTGGAGCAAAAGCGCCTGATTAGTGCCGGGAAAATAAAACAAGAAAACAAAAATAGCAGCAACTGATGAGCCACGGAAAGGGATATGGGGACCGGTCGGGTTCTCCTGGAGTCGAGGAGTAAGCCAAGTTTTGGAGAAGGCACTTACCTCCTGGCATGGGCATGTGCGGTGGATAACTCTGTCCAACAAGATCAAGAGACCAGTCCCCAATGAGCATTGTGCGAGCAAGAAGTGCATTCAAACCAGCTGCGTTTCCCGATCAAAAAATATAAAACTGCTCCTTGCCACCCTGATCACCCACTTTACCCTTGTCACCCGCGCCGCCCGTCCACCAACGACGACGACGACGACGACGACGGATGACCCACTGACTGCCCTTTTCCCTGCGCGTGTGCTCACCATGTTTTCTTTTTTTCCCGACGTGCTGAGAGAAACACTGATTCTCGTCACACTTTGAAAATGGAAGCGAAGTCAGTGACGATCGTGAAACCATCAAGCTGTTTGCTTCTTCTTCTTCTGCTTTCTTTATCATGGTGGTGGTAACAGATGTAAAATACTTCTTGGAGGGGTGGAGTAGTTTTTATCATCACTGTATTCGACCGAATGGGAGTCTGCTGCTCGGTCGCCAACGCCAACGGCAGCGCAGCGTCGGCGACGGACGGCGCGGCTGGTGCGCCATCGGTTGAGATGGGGTCGGCCATGGGGGCGGCGCGGTCGCGGGGGGATGTGGTGTTGGAGGAGTTTGTGCATCAGGATGCCATTACTCGCGTGGTGGTGACATCGGGTGGCCATCGGCTGCTGGTGGCTGACGAAGCTGGTGTAGGTCGTGTGTGTCGCTTGCTGCCTGCTCAAGGGCCGATGTACGGCGCTCACTCGGCCACTGGGTCTTCTCGGCTACAGGTGCTGGCTGTGTGGAATTTAGACAAGGCTCAGGGGCCAGGTTTCGAGCTGTCTTTACAAGCTGCTAGCCGAGGAATCACTGATTTGGCGCTGGCGCCCCACGGTGACCTGGTCGCGCTCACGGCGCGCTCCGGGGAGCTGGTCCTGGTCAGCCTTCCCACGGATCAACAGCCGACTGTCCTGCACACCCTCAAAGGTTCCAATAAGACGGCCTTGGCTGCGGTGACCTTTGTGCCCGTCTCCGGTATGTGTTTAGAATTGAAGGTGTTCCATCCTTTCTCACACGGTGCGGGGACTAACATCTGCTGCCGGTCTCACCTATGGCTTGGTCGTGTGGTACATAGACGGTCTCATGATTGTGACGGGTAGCCGCGATGGGTGGATGGGTGGATGGCAAGTCAGCAATTCCACGGCGGCGCCCACTCAAGTCTGGGAAGAACACATCAACCGCAACGTCGTGACGGCATTGCTCGGTTTGGATGCAGGCCTCTGCTTGCAAACCAGCGAAGACAAGCTTTTGCGCTGCTGGGATGTTCGTACTGGTGCTTGCGTGCGCACATCTCCTCGTCAAGCAGCCCTTCAGGTTTGTGACTCGGGGCTGCGCTTCGCTTTTTAGGTCCTTGTCTTGCCCATGGCATATTTGGCATGCGTCGTCCCATAGACATGCATGGCGCGCGCTGGTGCATCTTTTGTCGTCGGCCAGTCAGCCTCGGCCACGGGCCAAGCCTCACTGCAGGTATGCGTTTCATTGACGCTGCAAACAGGCCCTCTCACTTGCCTCAGCCACCCTTATCTCAGATACTGCTGACTGGTGTTGCTGCAGATATGGTCGCCAGAGCTTCAGCTTCTCCAAACATTTGCTCTCGACGTCCATACGGTGGCGGCCGTAGCAGTTCAAGGGCAACTGGCCCTTGCACTCGGACGCAATGGTACCATCGTCGCACTTGACATACAAACGGGGGTCGAGCGCTATCGCACCGCGGTGGGTGCTGGTGTCAGAAGCTTGGCTCTCTGGATGCCAACCCCCAGTACGCCCGCGCTTCGGCTCGTCGTGGGTCAGGAGGGCCGCGTGCGTATCAAGTATCCCAACTTGAGGCTGTAAAAAAAAGAAATTAGTAGTATCATCGTAAGAGATGCTGAGCATCTCATCATGTCGATTGCTTTCGTCTTGCCTTGCTATGTTGGTTGTGGGAGGCGAGGGTGGATGGGCTGAACTGAAGGCTTTGCGTCCAATCCAAAACTTTTGCACATAGTTTATTTCATTGTCAATTTTCTTTCCTGTGAAAATACCACTGGCGGCCTGGGCTGCATATTAAATGTAGTCAATGGCCTGGCACAGACAAACAGGGTAAAAGATACGCGTGAGCACACTCCTTGGCTTGGCAGACAAAACCGGGCAGGCTCATGATGCGATGGAACATACCACTTGCTGTGAACGGGAGAGCGTTGGGGAGGCGCGCGAAACCTCCGATGGCGCTACCGAGTTGTCTCGCAGGGTTCGGACGGAGCGCGGCGAGCTCGGTGCCACGGTCGGTGGCGTGGTACCGGCTTCCACCGATGGATCCACCGTACCCACGGTGGAGGTGGTGTCTTGCGAAAGCGTTTCCACGCGGGGCGGCTCCTTGCGATGAAAAAGCGGCACTTTCTTCAAAATATTGGGCATGCGAGGGAAAAGGCTGCGACCCACATTGTCTTCCTGACTAAAGTCATACCTGCAAGGCCAATGGCCATGACATGGTAATTCACAAGGTTAAATTCCGCATCATGAAAGCGTAAAAACAAAGCCAAGGCAGTGACGACAAGCCTGGTACATACGCTGAATGCTGCACTCGCAGCGAAGATCGCTGGCATTCGACATATTCTTCGGGCTAGAAACGCGGGGCTGTAAGCAAGAGCCGAGCCGCGGGGGGCAAACCTCGACCGCGAGGCGATAATGATAACGCACCTGCTGATCGTTAAGTTGCTGTTGCTTACTCTGCTCGCGGACAATGTCGATCGGGTTGGGCATGAACCAGGCCTTGGTGAAAAACTCGAGCAGCGACGCCACCATGCATAGGCCAATGGCCAGAAAAAACACAGCCCAACAGAACCGGCTGGACAAGCCACTGTTGAAGACGCCATAATAGGGCGATTGGAACTGCACCAATTTGGGCCACAACCGGTGAGAAGAGGCGATGCTTTCATGAGAACGCAAGCCGACTTGGCTCACACATAATATCGATTGTCGTGAGCAACGTAGACCTACCCAGAAAAGTTCGTCATCCCAGGCGTACTCGATACCGAAGAAGACGAAAAACGACAGCGGGCCAACCAGGATGGTCACCCAGTTGAGCCAAGTCCAATGCCTTGTTTGTACCGCCAGTTGCAGGTTGACAACCCAGGTCAGGAGGAGGGCACAGATGAAGGAGAGTGTAAAGTAGTCTCCACGCAGCACGCCGTCACTTCCAAACTGCAATAAAATACCACAGGCATATGTGAGTTGACAAAAAATGCAAAAGAAACAGGCAAAGGGCAAAAGGAGAAGGAAAAAACAAAAAACAAAACAAAACAATAAAATGTAATCAATCAAGACACAGAAATAGCCTGGAACGTACTGATCCACCAGAGCGCACGGCGAGCGCGGGCACAAAGAAGATGACCACGCCATGGAGAACGCCACGGAACAAGCTCCAGTAAAACGACTCGCGATCAAAGAGGATGTTGCGAGGGCCTGCCTCGTAGAGGTGGGGGTTGGCCAAGGACTCGCGGTCGTTGACGTCTTGTTCGAGAATGCCCACCACAAGAATGGGCAGCGAGCTGTAAATTACGTTGAAGGTTGAGATGAAAACTGCGTCGTAGATGGTCATGGCCGAGTATCCACAGAAAAAGCCAAACCAAAAGTGCACAAAAGCGTCTGCAAGCCACCCAGTCAAACCCGGGCACAGCATCAGACAGGTGTGTTGTGGGCAAGCAAGGTAAAGTAGCAGAACGACATCAGGGGAAATGGCGACGAAAACGTACAAGCAAAGTTTTTGTAGAAGAAATAGTTGAGGAAGGAGCTGCGCACCGATGCGATCATGGTTCAAGACCCAACAATCAGTGAGCCTAGGTCCGCAACGTTTGGCGGGGCGGAAGCAGGCGCTCGGCAGATGTGATTTTCAGGAGAACACGTGTCACTGACCTCATGCGCAAGTAAGACCAGCGGCCGTGCACAATCAGGAGACGTTGCAGGAAACGGAATTGAGCGATGCTAAAGTCACTCGCCAACACGGCTTGGCGCCCCTCGAGACCAGAGATGCCCACGCCAATGTGGGCCGCTTTGATCATGCTCACGTCATTGGCACCATCACCAATGGCCAGAGCGATGGACTTGCGCTCGGTCTTGATGAGGGTGACCACCTGCGCTTTTTGCAGCGGCGATACACGGCAGCAGAGCACGCTGCGACATTTGTCGGTGACGGCCAGGAAGAGCTCCTGGATCTGACGCTGCTCTTCCAAGCGCTCAGCCGTCCATCGCAGGCTCGTGCTCCCGTTATCAAGGCGAATCATCTCCGTCTCGCGTTCTTTTTTGGTTGGTGGTAGCGGAAACGTTAGCCTATCAATCAAATCCCATCATGTCAGCAAACTGCCATGGTAGCACACCTCCAAGTGTTGCTTTGAAAACTCAGCGCACGAAAGGAAGGAAAACACAACGACGAACAAGCAATAAAGCAAACGAAGTAAAAGAAGAAACGGAATACCAAGACAAAACAGAACCAAATGTATAGTTGCGAGCCGAGACAAAGACTTACGCGCGGCCTGTCACGACCAGAGCAAAGGGGCGATCATTCTGATTCACAGTTTCCAAGCCCCGTGTGAGTTGATCTTTGACTTCCTGCTCGTCCTTGCCGTTGACAATGATGAGGGGTTCCATCTCAGACTTGAGGAGGCGGCAGGAAAAGCCAATGTTGATGGCCGTCTCTTGCTTATCGCCAGTCAAGACCCAAACTTTGATGCCAGCTCGCATCATGTTGGCAATGGTCTCGGGCACTTGGTCTTGCAAACGATCTTCAATGGCCGTGGCCCCGACCAGATCAAAGTCACGTTCCAAGTCCTCGGCAACTTCAGCAATCTTGTCGTCACGATCCTCGAGCGAGGTCTCAGCCTCGGCAAACCGGGCTGCCCAGTTCTGATACCAGTCGGGATCCAGGCGGCGCTGACACAGCACGAGTGTGCGCAGACCGTCTTTGGCAAACTCGTGCAGGTTCTCTTCGCACGCGGGCCAGTCACGCTGGCGAGCTTCCTCTGACAGGAGCTGTTCCATCACATTATCGGCGCCCTTGCTGTACGCCGTAAAGGTCCCATCGGCGGCCTGCAGCACAATCGTCATCCGCTTGCGCGTACTGTTGAACTGAATGATGTTCAACATCTTGTAGGCTTCTTGTTGGCCACGCACTGAAATGTAAATATCCTCGCTGGTACGGGTATCAAAGACAAAACCAGCGTCCCTGTTTCGATGCACCACAACGGCGCAAGTAAGTCATGCAGCCATGCCAGGGTACCGAGCGTTTTTGAACGCAAGCGAAGATGGAGCTGAGCAGCAATACGTACCGGGCACCCTCGACAAGGGCCTTTTCGTCAGGAGACTGAGCCTGGTACTCGATTGTACCGTCCACGTGTTCATGGCGCACCGTGTGGCAAAGCGCAAGCAGGCGGAAGAAATTGTCCACAGCGGGATCATTTTCGGCCAGCTTGGCCTGGAATTTGGCATCAATAAAGGTTTCCTCCTCTCCGGGGTCCTCGATCTGATCCAGATCTAATGGATGCGAGTCGGCGGGCTTCATTTTACCAATGTCAGCCTCCTTGCCATAGATTTCACCTCCAATCGAGCATTGAATGAAGCGCATGACATTCTGCGTGAGGGTCCCCGTCTGTGTGTGATTGAAGGGACGGCCAAATCGAAATATGGCGAACATTGGTGAGGAGGTGAGCGAGCCTCGACAAAGTTTGCAATCATGTCACCAAATGCAGGCCTCGTTGCAAGCGTCGCACCTTGTCGCTGAAGACGTAATCAATTTGGCCAAGTTCTTCGTTGAGTGTTGTCGTGCGGGCGACGGCGCGGGTATCCGTGTCTTTGTGGTACATTTCTCGGTCCCAGCCAATGAGCAGCGACTGGCCAACCCGAATCAACTCCACTCTGTCCATCCGGGTAGAGCAGTGCCGATGAGCAAAGCATGGAACGAGATTGGTCCATGGATCAATAGCGGCAACGTACGATACGTAGAGGGAGATGGGCACCAAGTTGGAGAGCACAATGAGATACGAGAAAAACTGCAGCGTGCCAATGGTTGTGGCATCGTCGCTTTGACGATTCAAAAACATTTTGAACTCCTATAGCAACCACAGTCCATTGTCGTGAGACGCATGTTGACACGCGTGTCTAGACGGATTTGAACTGGGCAAGCAACGTACATCGCCCTGACGAGCTTCCCAAGCCGAGCTGAGAATGGCCATGACGGTGCACATGCAAAAGAGCACGAAGAAAATTTGAAGAACGAGGCCGTTAAGCTGCATGTCGATGTGGGTACGTTTGAAGCGCGCGCGGCCTGTCCCGCCGGGCAAGGGCATGAGCGGGATCATTTGACGGCGAACAGAATGGTTGGTGAGTGTTGCAAAGCAGCTAAAAAAAGGTTGAATATTCCCAGAGATTGACAAAAGTCCTTCCTGCCGAGTGCCGGGCCATGGAACTAACCGCTGTTCCGCATGAGCTTTGTATCTTTGCCGCAGTAGACAGCAACGCCGTGGATGAAAGATGTGTTACGCAAGCGGCAGCCCTGAAACCGAAGGTCACCCAAAAGTATAAGCAGACGTGCGAGGGGGACAGCGTGGCATATAAAAATAGCAAAGGCCGGCAATTGGTGTGGCGAACAAGGGCAGCTCTGCGTACTCGGAGCAGAACGTTCTCGTCGCTCAAGGGTATAGGGTCATCAAGATAGAGGGTGCCATCAAACTTGTCAAGCTTGTTGTTGGGCGGATCACAACGCACTTGGCCTGTACACGCGAGGATGCGAGAATGAGATGGCGGCGGTGGTATCTAGTTTGGGTTTTCCTCTTGTGATAAGGCGGGGCCTAGTCAGGTGACCGCGCACAACATTATGCGTACCCGCCAGGGAGCTGAGGCTGTGCTCGTCCACAAGCTGACTGGTGGCTGTCGGGGAATAGCGCTTCTTGAGGTTGGTTTCACCGTCGAGATCGGCCGTCTCAATGTAACAGTCGTGGTCCTCTTCCGAGGTTGAAAGAACAACGAGATCGCAGGGCACAAAATCGTTGCTCTTGAGCTTGATGATGTCACCGACCACAACTTGACTCCAGCGAACTTCAATCCAGCTGGATGGCGCGGTGCCCAAGCAAAAATATGGGATAGGTTAGCCGAGCAAAGTGACGGTCCATGATCAAGATTGATTACTGGGAATGAGGGGAGGGGGAGTCCGAGCAGCAGATGACGCGCACCTGCCCTCACGCAGCACCGTTGTCGCTCGGTTGTTGATGGTACCATCGCTGCGGTGTCGTTTCTACCGAAAACCCGGTGGAGGGCCTGGGCGTGAGTGTAGCTTACCACAGCATAAACTACACGTATTTCAACGGTCAGATAGCAAAGCGCACCAAGTCATCGTTGGCATCTTTGGCGGCGGTAACACCGAGGACAAACACCAGAGGCATGGCCGTGGTAACCGGACTGAGGGAGGAGATGGCCGGGATCAGCTGGAGGACCAGCAGGCAGAGAAAGTAAAAATTGGCAGCACGCATAAACTGCTCCAGCAGATTGTGCGGCAAGAAGGACAGCAGCGTGTATTTGGACGTCGTGATTCGATTATCCTGTACGTCACAAACAGGTGGGAAAAGTGCAGTCGAGATGAGTTGACGCATGCTCAGATCAGGGAGCCGAATGGTCTTTCAGTCTGTGGGACAGCTGGATGCGTTCGTGCAGCGAGATACGGACCAAAGCAGCGGCAACTTCGAGTGTGCGCTCACTGTTGCGTTCATCGTTGTTTAGAAAGATGACGCGCACAGTCTCGAGTCCGTTTTCTGGCGGAGGGACTTCGAGGTCCTTGGCCGCTAAGAGGGCGGGGCAGCAAGAGGGAGAGGGGTTAAGCACGGCCGAGTCTGCTCACCTGAGCCAGAAAAAGCAACGAGTTGGACGATGCGCCTGGCACGTCATCCACACGCTGCCAAAGCCTGGCGCAGCCTTGCACCAACTTACCAGCCATGATGCTGGCTGCACGAGGCAGGCTCAGGCGAGCCTCTGGACAGTCTTGAAGTCCTTCTTGAAAATTTCCGAACAGAGTCTAAATCTGCACAGAGGCAGGCAGGCAGGAGGGAAATGAGCCAAGTTCCATTGGCCGAGGCTGAATGATCAAAGGACCAAACGATCGTCTCTTGCTCCCACAAGGAGGAGGAGTCCACGCTCGTCCGCTTGACCGGAAGGGGGAAAAAGGAAAGGAAAACAGGACAACAAGCCGGGACGGAGGTAGCTCACCAGCTGGTCAAGGGAGCATGCAATTGGCAAGTCACCCAAAAGAAAATGTTCACGCGGCCCCTAGCTACTGAACGGCGCCGCCGCTTTTGCTGCTGCCCGTCGCCGCCGTCGTTTTTTTTTTTTTTTTCCGATTGGGCGGGAAAAAAAAAAGTGGGCGGACGGCCTGTTAGTAGTATACTCAAACGTGATGACATTTCCGAGGTGGCTTTGTTATTTTGATGAATAAAGTGTGACAAATGTGTCGCTTGAGGTGTTGAATGACACGGGCAAGCACTCGGCAGGCATAACAGATCCCACGTAACTTACTACGAAAACACCGTAATGATTTCATATTAAATAAACGTGTAGTATAGTTGTGTTACAGTAAAAATCTGCATGTTCTCTGGAATCTACAACATTAACTGACCTCCGGCTGCGATTACGCATTGATATGCTACAAACACACTCTTGCTCCATGAATCTCACACCCATGCACGGCGAGCCAAGCATGAACACAAGGCGAGTCATCACACCCAATCAGCGATGTGACCACACCCGAAGACAGTGGAAGACAGTCAGATTCACACACACGCCATCGTGGCAAACGACGACGACGACGACTGCGTGTGTGTGTGCGTCAACGGCAGCGACGGTGGCGACGGCGGCCAGTGACGACAGTTGGTGCAATCAGCAATCAGCAATCAGCTCGAGTATCGACTTGTGCATGCCCGTGAGTTGGGGTGGTTACGTGCCTTGGTCCACCGGGCCTTTAGAACTTGAAGTGGTACGTCGCATGTTGCCAGCACGAATCGTGTGTTTCCGCCTCGCACGGCCCCTGTTGCCGCGCGCCACCGAGGCCTGCGCATGAGGCTCATACACGTTGTCTTGATGGATCGAGCAGATAGGTGCAACACCATCAAAAACGCCTTCATCCTGAGACTGCCGTTTGAATGTTGATACGATCGCACGTGGACCTGCTCCCCTCGAGAGCATTTGAAAAGCTGCCGACATTGCGAGCTGATGAGGGAGGACGTGCGCAGACCATGTGCAGCTTTTGACGAGCATAGTCCAGGCGTTTTTATTTCAAAGCTAGTGCTTGGTGGTGGGGCTTTCTCTCCGTGCCTTTGGTCTTGTGGTAGTGTCTGCCTTGGGGTTCATCGCACACCGATATCATGTCCTTCTCGGGCTGGTTCCGAAGCATGGTCAACGGTGGACCTTGCGATAAGATTACCGTGCAACACAAGGAGGCTCTGCCCCCATCCATTCTCAAAACCGATGTACCCCGCGCGCCGTATACGCGATCGCCTCGCTCTCAGCTCAGGTGCGTCTATACGAGCCTGAGCCCTAGCCCAGCTATTGCTCGTGCACTCATATTGTGCTGGTCCGTGTCCGTGGCATGGATACCCGACTCGCCAATGTAGTCTCATTCGACAAGCGACAGGCCACGTCGGCCATGTCTCCTTTGACCTGCCTCACGAGCCTGCAGACGACAAGGCCACGGTTCGTCCCCAGGGTGTCCACTGAATCTCTCCCGTGCCACGTCAAAGGCTCCAAAGCCTTTGCAGGTTGTGCCCCTCTGGCTTGATTTCTTCTTTGGGCCTCACGCATGTGCCCTTTATGACAATGTCTTGACATGGATGTGCAGCGCGAGCAAATGAGTCGGAGCATGTTTTCCAAGGGCACCATCTTTCGCAGTCTCATCAGCAACTATGAGTCACTCTGCCGCAGCCACAAGGTTGAACCCCTGGACGCCATCTGTGAGCAGCTCACTCGCGCCCGAGATGGCGACATGGAGGCGCGCCGTCAGCTGATCATTCGCGGTGGGTCTTTGCACACCTTTCCTCGCCAACTCTCGGCCGGCCACGCGCTCACCGGCCCGTGATCGGCCGTCTGTCCCACACCTACCTAGACGACGATCTGGGCATCCGGCAGAGCTTTTGGTGCTTTTGCGACGTCCTCTCCTGCTGGGTCGACCTTCGCGTCATTGTTCTCGAAGGTTTGTTTCTGATGGATTTTTTTTATCACGCATACCATGCACCGTCGTCTCGCGCTTGAAGATGGCGGTGCTTGCTTTGGGCAGAGTGGACCGCACCACCTGGCTTCACCTGCTGCTCGCACAACTTCGCCTGATGCTGCAGATTGCCATCTGAGCGATCCACACCTTCGTGGACTTGTGAATAACTTGCATGCCCGGAAATGCATTACCGAGTTGTCCATTGCCGGTGCGTGCGCAGTGCACTGCGTGTTGCTCAAGATGCCTTCCATCAGATCTCCCCAACTTCCGCTCACTCCACCGGCCCATCTAGGAAACCCGGACGTCACCGCTACTGGTCTTCATGACATTGCGCTCTTGTCGCGCCACCTTGACCTCCTCGAGCGGCTGGATCTAAGTCGTATTCCTATGGACCGGGCTGCGGTCGAGCAACTGGGCAAGGGTCTAAAGGACGCCAATGTCAAGACCCTGGTGTTGGATCAGTGTCATCTCGACTCACCCATGCTTCTTGGCCATCTCGTGGCGTTTGTCCTACAAATGCCGCGATTGTACAAGCTCTCCCTCTGTGGCAACCGAGTGCGTGCAAAAGCCTACGCCTGCTTGGCTGGTCAACTCGCTTCCTTCTTGATGGCCAATGGTTTCATCTTGCGCACATGACCGCCGGTTTGGTGTAGATGGGCCGAGGGTGTGCTTCAATGCTGGCACCCCTGACGCAGTATCCCTCACGACTGGTCTGCCTCGACCTGAGCAACAACCGACTGAAAGGTATGTTTGGTTTTCCGGGTTTGTTGCTAAACTGTGCTTGAGTTGCCATGGGTTCGATGCCTGTGGCGTGCTTGCGCTGGCTTCACAGTTGTCTCTCATCGGACCCCGCTTGCCTCGCATGGCCCTTTGCTTTGAACAGATACGCTTGGTGGACTATTTCAAAACGCTCAACCCGCCGCCAACATTCGCGCGCTGTTGGCCCAAAACAACGGCGTCTCACCCGTTGGTGCTGCCGCTCTTTTCACGGTCCGTTGGTGTTCTTCGGATCCACATGGTCTGCACAAACAAGACGCAAATTCCGCTAGATTGCACACTTAAGTTGCCGTGCCTGATGCTGTTTGGTTGGGTGCTATATAGGCGCTGCTGCGCTATCGACTTCGCAATTTGGATCTCTCTGACAACTTCAACCTCGCCGTCAATGCCGAAGGCGTGAGTCTCGACTTGGTGCATGTTTCATGTACCCTTGTGCGTCTGGCATCTCACTCTCACTAGTCTCCTGCTTTGACAAAGTTTGTGCGCCTCAAGGACCTGCTACTACAACAGAACCTGCATCAGCTATTATTGCGAAACTGTCAAATTTGCGCTGAAGGTGCGTCAAGATACATTGGCTGACAACCTGATTGTGTTTTCCATCATGCAAATGGGACGGCCCAATGTGCCATGGCCATGACTTACCGTGTGGTCTTGACGGATCAATAGCTTTCGTGGCGTTGGCCGAGGGTATGGCCGAGAACATGGCCTTGACCGAATTGGATTTGCGTGGATCGGCGCTGGACGCTGCCTCCCTCTTTGCACTAGAGTTGGTTGATATGTTGCCTCAGTTCTATCGGGCCTGAATCTGTCAGCCTGCCTCATGCCTCATCATCCTTGGCCACTGGCTTGCTCATGCTCTAGGCGAATCATGAAAACAAACAGGCGCCTTTCTGTGTTGATGGTGGACACCATTTCCATCAAACCGTGCGTCACACCCGTGGACGCCACGCATCAACGCTCGTCCCGCGAGGAATCTGTGTTTTTGCTCACTCTTTGATGGAATGAATCGGTCCTTGCAGAGATGCCACGGCGGTCGAACAGGAACGATGCAACTCGGCCTTGTCGTTGCTGCAGGAACACTGTGCACGTAATCGCAACGCTCAAGATGATCTGAATGTTGGTCCAACGTCGGGACTCCGTCGCAGTGGCACGCTACCTGTGCGCCGCACACGTCCCATCAACTCGCCTGACATTCATCCCGAGGTTGAAGCTTTGAACACTGCTGATGCTGACGATGGGTTGACTGGTGCTGCGGCGGAAGTGGCAGCCACTGCGGCACACGATCTACGTCTTGGTCTAAATGGGTCTTATGTTGATGTGGATGCTATGATGCATACGGGCCGCTCGCCCAGTGACCCACCCAGTGGCGTTGCCACTGGGATGGCAGCTTCAAGCAAGCTTCACGCCTTGACTGAAGAGGCCAACGAGGAGGAGGCTGGCAGCGAAGTCGACGAGCTGGATCTGTTGCAGGGAAACGCCAAACAGGAAACTGAGGAGATCGACGACGCCAAAAGCGACACCAATAGTCTTGATGAGCAAATACTCGGGGACATGTCCCTCGATGACGGTCTCGTGGTTGAGGATGGCAACAGCTCTAAGGATCCATCTCTTACCCATGAAATTGCGCTCGAGCCCCTGAACGAAACGCTGTGCAATGACGACGACGTCGCAGCAAGCCCACAAGGTCTTTTAGGAGATGACACCGCCGATCTCGCAAATGTGTTGGTGGATGAGAAGGAGATGCACGACCTCACACTGCAAGCGACAACGTCCAACTCCACGGGTACGGCATCGCCCGAGCTGGCCCGCGAACCGGAGACAACCTCCGTCCCTGTCGCGCAGACAACAAAGGACGAACCCAAAACCAACGGATCTGGGCATTCCGAATCGATGCTGACCGAGTCAGCTCAACCTGGGACCGACTGAGATTGCCGCAAGACTGCATAATTCGGCTCAAACGCCTTGAGGGGGCGAACCCAAGCGCTGCCTTGAGAGCATCTTGATCGTGTGCACGACGAGTTGTCTTGCGTTGTACACCTGACTAACCTGGCCCTGTGGGCCCTCTCTATGTGGACTTTAGTCATCTTAGCCTTGAGGTTTGATGGAAACTCGCTCGCACTGCTTTGCGGCTTGAGCTGGCACCGGATAAAAGGTGGCTTTCCTTGCCTCTGCTTTCTCACATGTTTCATGTTATCAATCGACATCCGAAGATGTGTCGCCAATAACAAAAAAAGGAGCGAAGCGAAAGCACACTGAGAAAGAACAGTGGGGTCACATTATGTTGATTAGTATCTGGCTGTCGACAGTTCGACAACACTCAACACCTCGTCAAAACTCAAAAGATCGCAAAGAAAAAGCGGGGGTTGGGAGGGGGTTCGAATAGGACACCCTTTGAAGCCGCTGGCCACGGGCTTGGTTACTGTCGGCCTGCCTGCTCCATGACGGCTTGCATGAGGCGGTCTGTAAAGCTTGTCTCGCCCTCGTGCACCACTTCAGGGCTAGCCATGATGATCTAAAAACAAACAACAACAAAAATCAGACACGACGGGCAAGTGAACGAACACCGGCGATCAAGCGTGGAGAGGGGAAGATAGTGGGGCCAGAATTTACCAAAGCACTCTCATCGCTGCGATGCGATGCGCGCGAGTCAGCCGTCGGACGAGAGCGAGGTCGCGCGCCTCGACCCGTTGCAGTGAGCCGGATGGACCCAGAGGCGGTACTCTCGTCGCTGCTGCTCCTGCTGTCACTATCACTATCACCATCAAACTGAATTACAGTTGCGTCATTAGGCGAGTGCAGGAGCCGTCGGCCCGCGACATCATAATCATCCTCAGTGCTACTACTGCTGCTACTGCTGCTTCTCCTCTGTTGGCTCCTGTGACGGCGACTTTGCTGTTGGTGACTGCTGTTGCCTGTGCGAGGCGCGGAACTCCTTGGGAGACCGCGCGATGCAGACGTTGGGCGCGAATGCAAGGCCACAGGCACCGAGGTGTCATCGTGTCGGCGCATTGGTGCATCTGAAGCAGAGGCATCAGAATCCTCGGACAGGGACCATGCAGCCGGAATAGCTTCGCGTGGTCCCGCCGTATCAAGGCGAAGGCGTGCAGACTCTGCCATGAGAGACACTTCATCGTGTTCAAGTGCCTGCGCCGCGAAGGTTGGATTGGACGTGTGAGCTCCCATGGTCAGCTGTCGAGCGCGCCCCAGCTGGTTCTCATGGGTGCGGGCAAATGTCCAGGCTGCTGCATGCAAGAAGCGATACTGCTCCTGCTCGCCACACAGGTGCATTCAAAAGTCAAACGCATCGCATGCATGAGCTTGATGTCGAGCACACTGAGCACGGATGCATGAGAGTGTGGGACAAAAACAAACAAAAACAAAAAAACAAAAACAAAAACAAAAACAAAAACAAAAAAAAAAAAAAACAAAAAAAAAAAAAAAAAAGCAAATGAAATTCAGAACCCCAAAAAAAACAAGCAAAGCGAATTAAAATTCAGAACCAAAAAAAAAAAAAAAAAAAGCAAAGCAGATGAAAGTTAAGAACACACAAAGCAAATGAAAATTAAAATTCAGAATCAAAAAAACAAAAAAAAAACCAAAATGAAAATTCAGAACAAAAAAAAAGAAAAAAGCAAAGCGAATGTTCAGAAGCAAAAAAAAAAAAGCAAGGCGAATGAAAATTCAGAACAAAGAAAAAATCAAAAAAACTTACAAGCGAATTGATGCAGAGGCCGCGGTCCTGGCGCAGCTGGCAGACCGTGCCCAGTACATCGGCTGTGCCTTGCTGAATAAGCTGCATTTGCAAGATGTCCAGGGCCACAAACACGGCTCCTCGCTCGATGCCCAGCGGACAGTGGACCACGACAGGGGCCGAGCCTGTGCGCATGCCGGCCACGTCGCGCACCACGGTGTTCCAGGTGCGTGCGTGCTGCGGCTCACGCTTGCTGCCTGTCGACAGCATCCATACGTGGGTCAGTGTGCGTGGGCCCAAGGCGCCCTTCCACAGCTTGATGCGGCTGTAAATGGCATGATCCAGCTCGGCTTCGTGGACAAGTTTGATCTTGTAGTCGTTCAAGCGAATCTAAGTCAAGAACCCAAGCATGTGATGCTCAGCCAGGCATTCGACAGGCAGAACAAGGCAGCCAAGCGAAAGCGAATGGGCAAGACGGAAGGCAAAAGAAATGCCAGTCCACTCCACATCCCTCAACAGAAGTAAATGCATCGCCGGCAGATGGTTTCATGGTGTGACAGAACGTACGGTGCGCTTGCGGGTTTTCTTGGGACCATGGGTTGTCATGACGGGCATCTGGTGCCAGATGGTACGGGTTGGCCAGTATCGTGTGCCGACGGCAACGCCGTCTTCAACTAGACCATGACATTGTACCACAACACTACACTCTTGATCCCAGACCATATGCCAAAAGTCCTGAGCGGTTCGAGGACGTGGGTGGGCAAAGAACAAAGTTGACAGTGAGATGACAAACGCACAAGCGTGACCAGAACAAACGGTACAGTGGCCAAATCGAAACCAAGGCACTCACCTCGCAGGTAGTCGGGCTTGGGGCTTGGGTCAGAATGAAGCGGCGGTCGACGCCACCAAGACCCCGCATATAGTTGGCGTTGATGTACTCGTCGCGCAAAGCTGTGTCGCTACTCATGTCGACGGACAGGTAGACGCGCGAGTGGATGTTGGGTAGAACAGAGGGAGAACGATTCCGCGACTCAACGCCGGATGGCAACTCGTCGACGGACGCTGCATTTGGCGGAATCGACTCGTATTCACTTTGCAGCATGGTGGGATCCCGTGAACTGGCTTCAAGCTGGGACACGTTAAGCGGGCGCGATTGTGTCATACGCCCTCTGCTTGGCGCAAGATAAGCGTGAGGTCAAGCAAGCAGCCATGTGATGACAATGCGAGGACGACAAAGGGGAAGATCAAAGGCTACGACCAGTGGGGTAGTCACGAACCTAAACTTATCACCCATCTGTGTCCACTTGGGTACAAAGCGAACGTCTTTGATTTCCAGATTATCGGCCGCCTCCAACTCTTGCTTGATGGCAACGCGTCGACGGGTACAGAGGCAATAAAGGAGCAGTAAGAGCAACAGAAAGGCCATGCTGAAGATGACAATGAGAATGATGAGACCAGTTCCACAAAGGTCAAAAGCACCCAGTTGTCCACAACTGCTGCTCGAGGGACCGGTATCACCCGACGAGGCAGTGCAAGAAGCATTGGCAGCATTAAATGTGTAGTTGGCAGCGCACGTAGCACAGCCTTCAGCGTTGCATGAGGTGCAGCCGGTGCTGCAGGCAAGCGGCGATACAACGGCCCTCAGCGGAGCTGCTCGACCAGGTTCGGGAGCGGAGGCGCCATAGATGGCAGCCACGTGGACCTGGTATGGCCCAGCACCAAGAGAGAAGTTCAGAAGAGCACGGTCTGTACCCGAAACGGTGAAGAATAGCGCTTGGCTAGTTTGGATGTTTTGGGCACGAATGTAGTAACCCTCGAGATGGGCAGAAGGCGTGGCGCTATCCCAGGCCAACCAGGTGGAGTTGGAGGTGGTCTGACTGGTGGTCAGGGTCGTCGGCCCCGCTGCAGCAACGCGCAGCGGAAGGGCGGATACAGCCACAGCGGCGTTGTTGAAGTTGGCACCTAGGGCGGAGCGAAAGTCGTCAGAGCGCAGTGCATTGCTCAAATCTGTGTGCAGACCGGCTCCAAGGGCAGCAGGCACGCGAGCACGCGCATAGAACGAGCGTGCATCGGCCGTCGGTGTCTGGAGATTGAAGACGGTCAGGTTGGTCTCGTCGGGCCAAGCAAACACTGTGCGCAAGGCGTTGGCAATCTGGCTTGCCGTGGCGTTGGCCTCGGGTGCAACGTTGGAGAAGGTGACCTGGGCCTGAGCCTGGACCTGATGGGCTGGAGCAGGATCAGAACTGGCGGGTGGGGCGCAGTGCGGGCCAAAGTCAAGACCACAAGAGCCACTCAGAGTGGCGCTACCAGAGTCTGGACAATCCTGGGCGGTCAGGCAGGCGGTGCAAACGCCCGTATTCGAGCCTTGGCAGGGGGTACCCAAGTACGATCCCTCTGGGCAGACGGGACAGGGAACGCAGAGGCGGTCCGTCGTGGCCGTTGGAGCCTGTCCCTCATAGGTCCACGTGGAGCAAGTGGTGAGCGGATGACAAGTACCTTGGTCTAAGTAATGAAGAGCATCGCAGACCAGGCAGGTGGCACCGGCCGCATCGCACTCGGTGCAGCCGGCAAGGGTATCACCGCAACGGGTGCAGGTGGTGTTGGAGGAATTGAAAAAGCCGACTTGGCAAGCGTCGACACAAAAGCCATCCTCGGCCAGTTTGTCAAAGAAGCAATCAATGCAGCTGTTCGGAGCACTGCTGGTGCAGGTGCGGCAGGAGGTGGCGTTGTCGCAAGGTACGCAGCGCCCACCCAGAGAAGTGTTGGAGCTGGCCTGTCCTCCAAAGCCGTTTGGGCAAGCTTGGACGCAGGTGGCGTTATCAAGGCCGATGTACCAGTTGGGAAGACACGCCGTGCAGGTGGTGGGATTGGAGCACTGTGCACAGCCGGGGGCACAGTCCTGGCAGGTACGGCCGCTGGCGTCGTCATTGGTGCCTTGAGCAAAAGTGGAGATGGGGCACGAGGCGACGCAGGTGGTTTCCAGCAGGAAACCGGCATCGGGTTGACATTTGGTGCACTCGTCCAGCGCGGGTCCCACACAGCGGGCACAGGTGTGATGACAAAGATCACAGGTGCGCAGGGCTACGTTGTTGTAGTAGGCAACGGTGGCAGTGCTCTCTGCGTTGCAGTTGGCGACGCACGCGGTGTCGTCAAAGAGAAAGCGACCGGTGTCGCACTGAAGGCAGTGGACCTCATCTGGGCAGCTGTTGCAGTGATCGATGGCAGCGCATGCTGCTGCCGACAAGGTCGGTCCGTGACCCGGAAGCTGGACCAAGAGAAGCAAGCCCGTGCAAAGGGCCAGGAAAAGGCCTGTGTGGCTCGGTGCAGTCATGGCACGCATGGCGGCGACTCGTCGGCGCCGCTGACTGCCGAGCTGCTTGGAATCTGGGATAGGGGGAAAAGACGCCACTAGGCGGGCTTTGAGCAACCACTCGTCCAAGGACCTGTGAATGACCAGGACATGATCCCGAAGGAGGGCGTAGAGTAGGGTTTGTCTTCAGGTAGTTTGATGACTGCTGTTTGTCGCGGCTTTGACAGGGCTCGGGTTATCCAGAGGCATTTGTAATCAGCCAGAGGATCCTTGCCGCCTGTCGGAAAAACTGAGTCGGCAGGTGCGGCGCCCGCCGGCAATCGTAGAAACAGCGCCCGCCAGCGGTCCCGACGCGACAGTCGTGGCACGAAGAAAAAAAAAAAACAAAGAGAGAGGAGAGAGAGAGAGAGATGTGCAAATGCCGACATCAGTGATGATGTCTTGAGGTTTATCAACGCAGGAGGCGAAATCAGTGAAAACGTTGGTTGGTCCGCAAACTCACAACTTGTCAAAACACGTTAGGAGGGAAATTTCTATTTGCGTGCATGTGTGGAAATTATTATTCTCGTGTATAACCAAACCAACAGACTTCACATGGATTTGAGTAGTTTGTGTGTGGAATCGGTGATTGGCCGGTGTGCTAGAGAAAAACTGAACGGCGCCATTTTTTTTTTTTTTTGGGAGGAGGGCATTCAGGGTATTGTGCGGAGAGTTCACAGGCATCTCTGAAGTTTGGGGTTTGAGGCGCGATCTCGGGCTTGCTGGTGCACTCGCCACCATGGCGGGGTTTCATCGGGTCGGGCATGGGTCTGTGAGACCGACGTCGGGTGATTCAACCCCAGCGTCGCTCGTGGCCGCCTGTGCGCTCAACGATCCAACCACGGCCATGGATCTGCTGGCCAAGTGGCCCGATCAGACCCAGGAGGCGGCCTTGGCCCATGCGGATTCGGTTTGTCACATGCTCTGTGCTCAAGTATGCCCCGAGCCTGCAAGTGCCTCACTTGAGCGCCTCCTTGGCGTGACAGGTCGGAAATACGGCGCTGCACATGGCCAGCCGCCACGGACATGCAGAGCTCGTGCGTCAGCTAGTCGATCTCGGTGCTGACGTCAACAACAAGACATATCTTGTGCGTGCATTGTGGTTGCCCGAGTCTTTTTGCGTGAATGTGTCTCTCCTCATTACGAAGGTCTCACCTTGACGGTTACATCGGCGTAGAACAACGACACACCCCTACACATGGCGGCTGAGGCGGGTCATCTCGACATTGTGCAACAGCTTCTGACGCTGGGTGCCTCTTTCAGTATCAACCTGGTGCGAAAGTGACGGCCTTCACGCCCTCCTGCTCTCTGCGTTGACTCACTGTGATTGCGACTCTCGACTGTGGCTGGGCATGTTTTGCGTCACCTCAGAACGGCCAGACCCCCCTCCACGCGGCCTGCGCCAAAGGCCGCCTCGAGGTTGTGCGCTACCTCTTACAGCTGGCTGCCGCCGGAGAGCTGCCCCACGAAGACGTCCTAGCTGAAGCCGAGGAGGTGGATGACTTTGATGAAGTTGAAGTTGGTCGCCCACGTCCCCCCTCCACGCCCACGCATTGCCTTTTGCTGTTGGATTCCTGCCGTGTTCTCTCTCGTCACCCACTCACTGCCCTCAATCTTTGCTTGGTCTAGCCATCGCAAGGCACGCCGCTGCACGTTGCTGCTGGCGCAGGGCATACAGCTGTTGTCGAGTTGTTGCTGGAACACCAGCAGGTGGAGGTGGACGCCGAAGACCAGGTGGGAAGCGCGAGTGTAAATGACCTCTGTATCTGGTGTTTGTGGCCCAGGCCCTGCCTCCGCTGTCGTAAAAGATGTTTTCTGGTTTAATCTGGTGCGGAGAACAGAATGGTTGGACAGCGCTGCGCCACGCCTGCGTGGCGGGTCACACCGACGTGGCACGTCTGTTGCTAAGACACCAAGCCAACCCCAATGCCCGCGACTTTGTATGTGAACGTATCACCTCAGTGGTAGACCCAGGGCCTCGACAGTGATGGCGCTTCACTGTCCCTGTTTGACCG